TATTTGTATAGATCGTGGCATGCCTTACCTCCGCTATATTTGTATAGATCGTGGCATGCCTTACCTCCGCTATATTTGTATAGATCGTGGCATGCCTTACCTCTTTGATGAGCACTTCGTTTCAGCACTCTCCTTCCCAACAAGGAATTCATATCAAACGAGCCGGAACCATCCACATGCAGTCCATAGGATTCCATCATAGCCTCTAAGGAACTTCTGGAAAATATCAGGATGACACTATTGCCTAATGGATTCCGTGATTCAAAGGTTTTTCATGATGCGGTAACAACATTGTCCCCGTCAAAATAAAGCTTGTTTTCCTAGATTGTGATTGAAACCGATCCTCTCCACTGAATGATGCTGTCTGTTTAAAAACATTATTTTATTTTAGGAATAAACAAGTTTTGCATTGGTTGCTGCTATTTAACTTTCCTGAAGAAATCTTGACATGTGAACCTCGAGATGACAATACAATCGCCGTCGATAAGGCTGTACAAAAAGCGCATGCACACTTAGTTGTAATACATGTACGAAATCAGTATCAGTTGACCAACTAATAAACGTTACGTTGCCGAATCAATTTTTCTGTATGATGTTCATTTCATATATGTGTAATCGACGGTGATATTTATTGCCAACTAGAACGTATTATACAGCTTTGTGTTTCACTGGCCATTGTGATAACGGTGACAAAAAAACCCATATCGTACTAGTCACTGACACGTCACACATAAACACTTACTGGTTCTGCTATATGAACATTTATACAATATAGATAATAGTTAATGATATTTTCCCATAGGTTTCCCAAAGGGTACCAGAAAAAAACATAATAAGTAACGGGCACCTGTAGTGAATTCTCTGTAAAATAACTAACTCTAACTTCGTTATTATTTATACAGGTACCTTCGCGTAAAACTTTTACGTTATTTTACTGGAAAGCAGCAGTAGTGAGTCTAACTTTCCAATGATAGGACACATGGCTTGTTAATGAGGCATTTACTACAGCAAGTGTAATTGAATGATTATTTTAGTGAGTTAATTCGTGAGGACATCAACTCACAAAGCGATCAGAAATATCAGTCTGTTGGTTTGATATACATGAATATTTTCACGTGTTAATGTATATTTCAGGATATTTTTTTTATGATTGGCAGTTCTTATTAAATATCTAACATAGTGACTTGTTATAAGACCCGGATGTTTATACCTTTCGTGTTCTACCACTTGTGGGTAACGTCTTGTAAGCTATTTTATTGGCTTATCTTTCAATTTTGACGTTAGGTAACAATAATTTACCCGTCATCTGCCATTACGACGTCATGAGTCAAGGCCATTTCCCCCCAGATCGGGAATAGGAATATTATATTTCCACGAGCAACACGTGGCTTTCTAGATTAAATACGATCATTATGTGAGAGAAATGTCCCCACACTAGCGATGCTTGATTATCGTGTTTATCTTATTCTCATTACCTACTTTTCAAAATGTAAAAGACCTTCGGTGAAACTAGTTCCTTTATACTATTCATAAATAAATAAACTCGAGTTAGATAAACACGGTGACCAATCATCACTCGTTGGTAAATATCTATACTGTAGACATCTTGTGCCCTACCTTACACAACGGGAACACTTACGCATTCTGGGAACTTGCACAAATACCTACCTATTTTTACCGGCTTCTCGAAATCCTTTTGCGAAAGGGTTTCTGGCAATCTTCAATCTTGTTATCTGTAACGTATTTAATTATGATATATAATTTGTAATTTAGTAACTTAAATGTTAATTTCCCGTTTGTTACTTTCATATTCTATAATAGGATTGACATTTGGTAATGTAACTGTAAGTTTCCCGTTTCCTGTTTTCAGCTTTCGTTTTGCATCATTATCATTGTAAGGTTTCATCATTGTAAACACGGTAAATCATCCGATAAAAAAATAACAATATTTCATCGCTGTAATCGGGAGCCTATCAGGAAGATCACAGCGAGGACTGAGATAAGAGAAGGGCCCTTCACACTCATCCTGGGGCCTCACTGACGACATCTGTCTAACCAACTATCTACATTATCTCTTTAGCGATAGCGCGAGATTAATTGGTTAGCTTTTTTTTATCTGCCTTTTGAAAAAAGAAAATTAACGTATAAACACATTTGATTGTTGTGTGTTTGAAGTCTATTCTAGGCGATTTAAGTTTACCCACCTCTTGGTTTTGGTAAGCTGTCACTGCTATGAACGATGTTTGGGGGAAAATGGCGACAAAGTGTTCTTTCTCAGGTTCTCCTGGTGTCTGGTCCAATGTCACACTCTCTACGTGTATTCGTGGGATAAACTTTTGCATCGACACTAAGGATATCTGCAGGGAGAGAAGATTGAACTGTTATAACCTATTTCTACCAATAGGCATATATGCTAGAGACATTAGCATAGCATGGTAATTTATGCGTGATCGTGTCGTTGATTTGCATTACATGAAGCTACGTTAGTCCCTGTGATCCTACAAGCAATACACTGTGTTCATAATTCAGATACAGCTCCGGTTTACCCTCTTACCACTCATGGTTGATTTGACATTTTAACTAACCCCCTAGTTTTGACCAAAACACTTCTGTTTTTTCTTGATATTTAAGGAAATCCACTTTGAACATAACACACCAGCATTGTGTTGAGGTAACCAATTTGACCCTTACGACCATATCACTCATACGATGATCAATGCCCCCTTGTCGTCTATGAATAAAGAAGAAAAGATTTCATTTTCAGCACATAATTAATGATAAACTCCACCATCCATTATAACAAAATAGTTCCTCAAACGCAATTTGGTCGCAATTGGCGTTGTTTGATGTCCATCATAAAAATTATATTATGATTTTGAGAAAAAAAAGTACCTGGCCCGCTCTCATCTTATCGCTGTTGGTCAGCTTTATGCGTTCGAATGACACGACCTGTGACGTCAGATGAGAAGAGTCCAATGGAGAGTCGGGATGATGATGGACTTGGTTAGGGACCATCGTTTCTCCTGATCCAGATACCATCCACTTTGAACTACAAGTCACAAGGAGGTCGGGATTGTTGAAGACTTTTAAATAATACAGTTTGATGTTAATTTCTGCTAATTGTTGCAAGGATACATAAGAAAGACCCTCATTTGGAACCAAGAGCAGTATTGACAACATAATTTTATTTTAACCAATTAAAAAGACGTTTCGTGCAAATACAAAATGAAGGACTAGATTATGACTTAACGTCGAAAAGCACAAGGACCGAGGAATCACAAACTGCAAACAACAGGGATAAATGAAAAACACCAGTGAACAACAGGGACGGAAGAATCACAGAAGTTAACAACTTGGACAGTGGAAACAACCAACAGTGAACAACAGGGACCGAGGAATCACAAACAGTTAACAACAGGGAACGTGGAAATAACCAACAGTGAACAACAGGAACCGAGGAATCACAAACAGTTAACAACAGTGACCGTGGAAACAACCAACAGTGAACAACAGGGACCGTGGAAACAACCAACAGTGAACAACAGGGACCGAGGAATCACAAACAGTTAACAACAGGGACAGTGGAAACAACCAACAGTGAACAACAGGGACCGAGGAATCACAAACAGTTAACAACAGGGACCGTGGACACAACCAACAGTGAACAACAGGGACCGTGGAAACAACCAACAGTGAACAACAGGGACAGTGGAAACAACCAACAGTGAACAACAGGGACCGAGGAATCACAGAAATTTACAACAGGGACCGAGGAATCAACCAACAGTTAACAACAGGGACCGAGGAATCACAAACAGTTAACAACAGGGACCGATGAATCAACCAACAGTTAACAACAGGGACTGAGGAATCACAAACAGTTAACAGCAGAAACTGTGGAATCACAGAAATTTACAACAGGGACCGAGGAATCAACCAACAGTTAACAACAGGGACCGAGGAATCACAAACAGTTAACAACAGGGACCGAGGAATCACAAACAGTTAACAACAGGGACCGAGGAATCACAAACAGTTAACAACAGGGACCGTGGACACAACCAACAGTGAACAACAGGGACCGTGGAAACAACCAACAGTGAACAACAGGGACAGTGGAAACAACCAACAGTGAACAACAGGGACCGAGGAATCACAGAAATTTACAACAGGGACCGAGGAATCAACCAACAGTTAACAACAGGGACCGAGGAATCACAAACAGTTAACAACAGGGACCGATGAATCAACCAACAGTTAACAACAGGGACTGAGGAATCACAAACAGTTAACAGCAGAAACTGTGGAATCACAGAAATTTACAACAGGGACCGAGGAATCAACCAACAGTTAACAACAGCGACCGAGGAAACAACCAATAGTTAACAACAGGGACCGAGGAAACAACCAACAGTTAACAACAGGGACCGAGGAATCACAAACAGTTAACAACAGGGACCGAGGAATCACAAACAGTTAACAACAGGGACCGTGGACACAACCAACAGTGAACAACAGGGACCGTGGAAACAACCAACAGTGAACAACAGGGACAGTGGAAACAACCAACAGTGAACAACAGGGACCGAGGAATTACAGAAGTTTACAACAGGGACCGAGGAAACAACCAACAGTTAACAACAGGGACCGTGGAAACAACCAACAGTTAACAACAGGGACCGAGGAATCACAAACAGTTAACAACAGGGACCGAGGAATCACAAACAGTTAACAACAGGGACCGAGGAATCACAAACAGTTAACAACAGGGACCGTGGACACAACCAACAGTGAACAACAGGGACCGTGGAAACAACCAACAGTGAACAACAGGGACAGTGGAAACAACCAACAGTGAACAACAGGGACCGAGGAATTACAGAAGTTTACAACAGGGACCGAGGAATCAACCAACAGTTAACAACAGGGACCGTGGAAACAACCAACAGTTAACAACAGGGACCGAGGAATCACAAACAGTTAACAACAGGGACCGAGGAATCACAAACAGTTAACAACAGGGACCGAGGAATCACAAACAGTTAACAACAGGGACCGTGGACACAACCAACAGTGAACAACAGGGACCGTGGAAACAACCAACAGTGAACAACAGGGACAGTGGAAACAACCAACAGTGAACAACAGGGACCGAGGAATTACAGCAGTTTACAACAGGGACCGAGGAATCAACCAACAGTTAACAACAGGGACCGTGGAAACAACCAACAGTGAACAACAGGGACCGAGGAATCACAAACAGTTAACAACAGGGACTGAGGAATCAACCAACAGTTAACAACAGGGACCGAGGAAACAACCAACAGTGAACAACAGGGACCGAGGAATCACAAACAGTTAACAACAAGGACAGTGGAAACAACCAACAGTGAACAACAGGGACCGAGGAATCACAAACAGTTAACAACAGGGACTGAGGAATCAACCAACAGTTAACAACAGGGACCGAGGAATCAACCAACAGTTAACAACAGGGACCGAGGAATCACAAACAGTTAACAAGAGGGACCGAGGTATCACAAACAGTTAACAGCAGGGACCGAGGAATCACAAACAGTTAACAACAGGGACCGAGGAATCACAAACAGTTAACAGCAGGGACCGAGGAATCACAAACAGTTAACAACAGGATCGTGGACACAACCAACAGTGAACAACAGGGACCGTGGAAACAACCAACAGTGAACAACAGGGATAGTGGAAACAACCAACAGTGAACAACAGGGACCGATGAATCAACCAACAGTTAACAACAGGGAACGGGGAATCACAAACAGTAATCAACAGGGACCTTGGAAACATTCAACAGTTATCAACAGTGACAGTGGAAACAACGAACAGTTAAAAACAGGGACTGAGGAATCACAAACAGTCAACAGCAGAAACTGTGGAATCACCGAAATTTACAACAGGGACCGAGGAATCAACCAACAGTTAACAACAGGGACCGATGAAACAACCAACAGTTAACAATAGGGACCGAGGAATCACAGAAATTTACAACAGGGACCGAGGAATCAACCACCAGTTACCACCAGGGACTGAGGAATCACAAACAGTTAACAACAGGGACCGAGGAATCACAAACCGTTAACAACAGGGACTGAGGAATCAACCAACAGTTAACAACAGGGACCGAGGAATCAACCAACAGATAACAACAGGGACCGAGGAATCACAAACAGTTAACAGCAGGGACCGAGGAATCACAAACAGTTAACAACAGGACCGTGGACACAACCAACAGTGAACAACAGGGACCGATGAATCAACCAACAGTTAACAACAGGGAACGGGGAATCACAAACAGTAATCAACAGGGACCTTGGAAACATTCAACAGTTATCAACAGTGACAGTGGAAACAACCAACAGTTAAAAACAGGGACTGAGGAATCACAAACAGTTAACAGCAGAAACTGTGGAATCACCGAAATTTACAACAGGGACCGAGGAATCAACCAACAGTTAACAACAGCGACCGAGGAAACAACCAATAGTTAACAACAGGGACCGAGGAAACAACCAACAGTTAACAACAGGGACCGAGGAAACAACCAACAGTTAACAATATACAATTGTTTCATGGCTATTGTTTATTACCCAATAGTCTATATAAATCATAATTAGTCATTTTTGACTGTTTCTGGCCTTTGTCCAATTTCGCCTGTAGGGGTGAAACAGTCAAAACTGTTTTCCCGGTCAGAGTGAACTGTTACCCGGCGCGAATTTGGTGCGCAGAAATCCCCCCTCGAGAGCCCCGTTCAAGCGTTTCGGTGACCGCGACTCAGTGTTGAAGCAATGGCAACATTGCATGCAGCATTGATACTAATATTTATTTGGTGATAAAACGATTGTTTCAATGCTATTTGGGTAACAGTCAAAACTATCAACCTCGGTAGTGGGAAGCCCTATGGAACTGTTTGCCCTCGGGATGATAGTTTTGACTGTTCCCCAAATAGCCATGGAACAATTGTATACTGTGGAAACAACCAACAGTTAACAACAGGGACTGTGGAAACAACCAACAGTTAACAACAGGGACTGGTCAAACACCAAATATTAACAACATGGACCGAGCAAACACCAAAAATTAAACGACAGTGACCTGGAAAAACCATCCTCGAAATTATAGAGATTTCGCTATCATACTTTCTCTTACGTACTCCTGGAATAATTTCGAAATCGAAGGCTCTGTTCACTCCACATTGTGAATGATACATGTATGCTTCCTTGATTCTTTGATTAACATCAGAACTATCGCGCGGCTCCGTAACGGTAAAATTGACTGACTTTGAAGTCGGATGTCGCTCCAGTTATCTTCAATAGTAAGGTATAGTTGTTTTCACCTGAAACCAATGAAATAGCTGACCGCGTGCCTTAGTTGTTGTCAAGACATATTCCAGAGGTGCAGAGAGCGAGCGTAGCCCATAGAATTTCGAGGATGGGTAAAAAACAAAACCAACACAAAGCGAAAGGACCAAGAAAATACAACAAATTAAAAAACAAAACAACGAACCAACGGAACGACCGGGACTACGGACGAAGGAAGTACCAACAGGGATACGTCACCAGCAGTAAGTGTGACACAATCTTTATCTGACTAGCATACTTAACAAATACTTCTCAGTAAAACAATGACCGCTGACATGCTTACCTGTTATAAACCTCTCTGTGGTTAACCTGTCCGATAGAACGGAACCACAGACCAGCTTACCTTTTGTTAACTTGTCTGGCTGACCAGCTTAACTGCGATATGGCTGTCTGACTGACCAGATAACCTGTGATAATCCAGTATGACTGACCAGCTTACCTGTGATATACGTATCTGTACTTGTGTTTATCCTGTTGCTGGAAGTCTAAATACACTTTGTATCGTTTTTTGGATTCCAGCCCTTGGATTCTAACCCTGATGGCAGGAAACATTCGCCTACATGGAGAGAAAGTGTTAGTTACAACTATGAGCTTGAAAAGTATAATTTTCAATGAAGAAATGCTCTGAAATATTTCAGCTTTTATTCATAAATGAATTCAGTCCCACCGAATGTTATATAATGTTTGTGACACACAACGTTAACACCTACAATAACAGTATTATGACTGCTTGACCTACCTTCCTGTTTTCGTGATTATCATCTCCGTGCCAAGGTTATGGAAGGCATGCCACAGATCACTGTGACATAGTTCAACACTAATCTGTCCTCGGTTGGACGTTTCTGTTAAAACAAAAGACGCGTGTGAAAGCATTTTCATTAGAAAACCAGCGATATGTGGTGTTAGCAATAAAAATGACCCATTTATGACGTTATGATTGTAGATTTACTGGTGGTGTTGTTTGTTGTGGTGGTAGTTGTTGGTGATGGTAGTTGTTGGTGGTGGTAGTTGTTGGTGGTGGTAGTTGGCGTTTGTAGTGGTAGCAGTGGTGCTGGGGATGGTGTTAGTATTGGTGGTAGTGGTAGTGGTAATAATTGGAATGTCATATACAGCATCAGGACTAACTAGAGCTATCACTGGGCCAGCTAGATATGTTTAAGTATTGTATCATATACACACCGACAGGGCCAGCCAGACATGTGTACGGTTTGTACCATATACACACTGACAGAGCAAGCCAGACATGTGTTCGCTTTGTATCATATACACACCGACAGGGTCGGCCAGACATGTGTACGGTTTGTATCATATACACACCCACAGGGCCAGCCAGCCATGTGTACGGTTTGAACCATATACACACCCACAGGGCCAGCCAGACATGTGTACGGTTTTTAGCATATACACACTGACAGAGCAAGCCAGACATGTGTACGCTTTGTATCATATACACACCGACAGGGCCAGCCAGACATGTGTACGGTTTGTAACATATACACACCGACAGGGCCAGCCAGACATATGTACGTTTTGTACCATATACACACCGACAGGGCCAGCAAGACATGTGTATGTTTTGTACCATATACACACTGACAGGGCCAGCCAGACCTGATGTACGGTTTGTACCATATACACACTTACAGGGCCAGCCAGACATGTGTACGGTTTTTAGCATATACACACTTACAGAGCAAGCCAGACATGTGTACGCTTTGTATCATATACACACTGACAGGGCCAGCCAGACATGTGTACGGTTTGTACCATATACACACCGACAGGGCCAGCCAGACATATGTACGTTTTGTACCATATACACACCGACAGGGCCAGCAAGACATGTGTATGTTTTGTACCATATACACACTGACAGGGCCAGCCAGACATGATGTACGGTTTGTACCATATACACACTTACAGGGCCAGCCAGACATGTGTACGGTTTGTACCATATACACACCGACAGGGCCAGCCAGACATGTGTACGGTTTGTACCATATACACACTGACAGGGCCAGCCAGACATGTGTACGGTTTGTACCATATACACACTGACAGGGCCAGCCAGACATGTGTACGGTTTGTACCATATACACACTGACAGGGCCAGCCAGACATGTGTACGGTTTGTACCATATACACACTGACAGGGCCAGCCAGACATGTGTACGGTTTGTACCATATACACACTGACAGGGCCAGCCAGACATGTGTACGGTTTGTACCATATACACACTGACAGGGCCAGCCAGACATGTGTACGGTTTGTACCATATACACACTGACAGGGCCAGCCAGACATGTGTACGGTTTGTACCATATACACACCGACAGGGCCAGCCAGACATGTGTACGGTTTGTACCATATACACACCGACAGGGCCAGCCAGACATGTGTACGGTTTGTATCATATACACACTGACAGGGCCAGCCAGACATGTGTACGGTTTTTACCATATACACACCGACAGGGCCAGCCAGACATGTGTACGGTTTGTACCATATACACACCGACAGGGCCAGCCAGACATGTGTACGGTTTTTACCATATACACACCGACAGGGCCAGCCAGACATGTGTACGGTTTGTACCATATACACACCGACAGGGCCAGCCAGACATGTGTACGGTTTCTATCACCCATACTGGATATGTTTGGTTTATTTTCCATGTTTACTAGGTCAAAGAGATACAGTTATCACGTATGTAGGTCGATTTGATTACCAGATTATTTAACTGATACGCGCATTATGATCATTAGGTGTGTACAAGAGTTTTCACTTTAATATACACTAATACAAAATACCATCTAGGTGTCCCGATATTGGGGAGGGTATTCTCGTACACTCGTATATAATAGGAAGGTTGATGAGAACGTCATTCTTTTAACTATTATGACCGATAAAAAGGACTTTTTGAAAGATAGAAAAATATAGTCTATACTGATATTGATTTGATTCATCTATCTTCATAAACCATTTGTTTTCTACTGATAATCAAACAGTAAATTATACTACTTTATCATTACAAATACAGAGAAAGGAAACTTCTGTTAACAAAATGTGAGCCAAACAAAGTAAACATTTTAATGTGTAACATATGGCTATTTCATCCATCAGTGGAACCTAATGTCAATAGACACGTCTACAGACGTTCCGAAACATATGTAGAATAAAGTAAATCGGGACAGGTGTCTTTAAAACCCTTTACGATGTTACAAGTGACAACGTTTGGCTACAATAGATAACTTTTATTTTTATTCCATGTAAACTCTGCCTCTGTAATTCCAGTTAAAGGCTTCGGCCAACCGTGGGGACTGACAGACAACCAGAAGAGTACGGCCAACCTCGATCGGGGACTGACAGTCAACCAGCAGAGTACGGCCAACCTCGATCGGGGACCGACAGGCAACCAGCAGAGTACGGCCAACCTCGATCGGGGACCGACAGTCAACCAGCAGAGTACGGCCAACCTCGATCGGGGACTGACAGTCAACCAGCAGAGTACGGCCAACCTCAATCGGGGACTGACAGTCAACCAGCAGAGTACGACCAACCTCGATCGGGGACTGACAGTCAACCAGTAGGGTTTACCACCTTGTGACATAAATACATCTCTAGAAGTGCAGCACTGATTTGGAAAAAGACTGTTTGCTGCATTAACACCGACCGTGATTGGTCTTTGTAACGTTCAACAAAATAACATGGACCGTGATTGGTCTTTGTAACGTTCAACTCAATAACATGGACCGTGAGTGTTCTTTGTAACGTTCAACTCAATAACATGGACCGTGAGTGTTCTTTGTAACGTTCAAGTCAATAACAAGGAATGGCCATTTTAAAGGGATAAGCTTTTATTTACGAACTTTGAACATAATCAGAAGTTATACATGCATGGCGAGTGCGCATGTCAGGTTATACTCGTATAACACTAGCGTGATCATCTAGAAACGCTTATCTGGTGTAAAGATGTCCACGCTTATCTCATGTGAAGATGTCCATTGTCGTAAGAGCAAGGAATGAATGACAGTTCTCACAGGAAAACAAACAACAAACAGATAAAACGAGAATAATGAGTGAAAAATTACACGTGATAATCCTCGGTTTGATATCAAATCATCGGCGTTCGGCTGACCGATTGGTGTATATGCAACTTGCTCTGGTTCCTATCGCTATATGTGTAGTGTTATACCAGCCTGACAATGCTAGGAAAAGCGCGGGACAGTGATCAATAGATAGGGACCGATAGCTGACACTAGATATCGGTAGATAACCGTAGTGGTCATTGGTCAAGAGGGCCAACGGCCAGTAGATGGACACGCGCAAATCACATTCCCACTGGTTGCGGTTAGTTCTCGGGTTATAATTTCTATAGTCATCTACCACTGGGTTTTTTTTTATAGTTTCATACAAAATTTCTTTAACAGAAACCCCAATAAAGTGTATATATGTATTTGATCCGTGTTCGTTATGTTCCGCTCATCTAGCACGACATGCCTCTGAGCTTACGAAATAGTGTGGCGTCTGTCAAATTTATTATTTAAATGCCATTTTCTGAATGAACGAGAAGGCTAAAGAAATGCAGTTTTACTTGTAACAGGCTAAGCTGAAGCGTTGTCAAGATTGTTCAAATGAATGGTCTTAACCTTCAAATGACATATTAGTCAATATCAAGGGTAAGAGTAAATATGTAAATAAAAAAAAACATTCTTCTGAATAACCATTTGTCATTTGGTAATGTTACTTAACCTGTTGTGTCAGCCTGTTTGCCATCAAAATTATAACGTACGACCTTGACCCACTTTGAAGGTCACCGATGTGAAATGTGTTTGCTATTGCAAGCCAAGTTGTCATTTATGCATGGAGCAATGTTGATCCAGTACTTAACCAAATTATATAAGATATCTCATATAGTATATAAGATATCTTATAAAAGATATAAGATATCTCATTTAATTTTCTTTATAAGATATCTTATATCTTTTATGAGATATCTTATATAATATATAAGATATCTTATATTTTTTATGAGATATCTTATAAAGAAAGGTATATAAGATATCTTATAAAATATATAAGATATCTCATTTATTATATAAGATATCTTATAAAGTATATAATATATCTCATAAAGTATATAAGATATCTTATATAATTAAATAAGATATCTTATATAATTTGGTTAAGTACTGGATCAACATTGCTCCATGAATAAATGACAACTTGGCTTGCCATAGTTTGCCGATATAATTGAATATTGGGTGAGCAAACCATGCCACTGGGCCCCTTTATCGCAAAAAATATTTGTCCACGTAGTGTTTAATAGTTAGTTTATTATAACGTCAATTAGCAATAAACAACGTCTAAATATAAATTTAATTAACGTATTATTTAAGTTCATTTTCAAATATGATCAATATCGTCGTCATCCTAACTAAATAATACTACCACGACCTATGTTGGTGTACGGTAAGTCCCCCCTGCTGGTGTATCTCCTCACACATCAGATAACGGGCTGATATACGTACAGTACACACATCAAAGGGCTAGATGTTTACTCGTCTACGGGTACCTATCCTCTCCGTAGATTAATCTGATAGCTGTATCTCTTTTTTCATCAGTCAACAGATATTCATTTTGATCAACAGATAGCTACAACATTTATGGGAATGTCAATAAATGCAAATATATACGAATCACTGGTAACATTGCACTCATCTACAGGCTCAGATCCTACACTAACAAAGGAAAAACACCATCGAGGTCAACACTACACTAACATCCTACACTTACAAAGGGATACACCATCGAGGTCAACACTACATTCAGATCCTACACTAACAAAGGGAAAACGCCATCGAGGTCAACACTACATTCAGATCCTACACTAACAAAGGGAAAACGCCATCGAGGTTAACACTACATTCAGATCCTACATTTATATAGTATAAAACGCCATCGAGGTAAATACTACATTCAGATCCTACACTTATATAGTATAATACGCCATCGAGGTAAATACTACATTCAGATCCTACACTCACAAAATACACATAGTATGCTGCATCAACATCAACTACGGGTTGCTAGTAATATACTCTAATATTCACCAGGATAGCTGTTTTCCTATAACATCTGACACAATTCGAAGTGACCATTTTGTATAAATGTATATAGTACCCCAGCCACAGCTGTTATTCACACTCAACACTACACAGAAACTCATCGTCATAAATCTATTTACAACAGTTTACATGATTTTTCGTATTAATTGTTAATTAATTATATTAATTGTCCATAATACCTCTATAAGCGAACAGATAAACAAAGATTTCGTTCAATGCTTAAAAAGTAAAATTGTATTCAGTTAATTTATACAAAAAAAATCTGTTCTCATACCAAGCATTCTACTCAAAGTTGTAAATTGTATTATACGTATAAGAGTTAACGTTATCACGGAGCCCCCACTCTGACATGTACACACTTAGTTTATTTCGTTTTATTAAACTACTATTTCGATGTAACCAATTATTACTTTTCAAACTACTATGATTCTCTTGTGGTTTGATTTTACGATATTTCTTTAGTTTATAATAAATCATAACACGGAATTAGAGGCTATCTAAGTCCGTGATCATACCAATATGGTTTAATGTTTAACATAAGTCTTTAATTAATAATAAATCCAACCATTATGGTTTTGCTTTAACATTCATTGTTTGTTTATTTTATTTATACCATTATAGGCTATTTTTTTACGATAGGTCTATAGTTTATAATTAATCATACAATTTTGGTTTAATGCTTTACCAAACATCTGTAGTTTGTTTTAATCATACCAATGCGGTTAAATTTTCACGACACATCTTTAGGTTATAATTGATCATAGTGAAGTGATTGTTAGAATGAATAAATGAATACAAATGAATGAATGAGAAACCTCTTACATGAGGACTAAATACATGGCCCAAGGGTTTCAGTTAAACCATACATCTTTAGTTTATAACCAATCAAATCATTATGGTCTAATTTTTACCATATATTTTTAGTTTATAATTAACCGTACGATTTTATAAGATAGCACAGCACGGTGATACACATAGGCATTTCTATTGACTATTACTATCATTATTATTATAATGAATTCATTGTGAGGTGTTGTCAGAATGGATGAAAGCTCTCAGTATAATTATTGTGTAGAATAAACCAGACAGTCAACCCTGGCAGTATCCAAATAAACCAGACAGTCAACCCTGGCAGTATCCAAATAAACCAGACAGTCAACCCTGGCAGTATCCAAATAAACCAGACAGTCAACCCTGGCAGTATCCAAATAAACCAGACAGTCAACCCTGGCAGTATCCAAATAAACCAGACAGTCAACCCTGGCAGTATCCAAATAAACCAGACAGTCAACCCTGGCAGTATCCAAATAAACCAGACAGTCAACCCTGGCAGTATCCAAATAAACCAGACCATCAACCCTGGCAGTATCCAAATAAACCAGACAGTCAACCCTGGCAGTATCCAAATAAACCAGACAGTCAACCCTGGCAGTATCCAAATAAACCAGACAGTCAACCCTGGCAGTATCCAAATAAACCAGACAGTCAACCCTGGCAGTATCCAAATAAACCAGACAGTCAACCCTGGCAGTATCCAAATAAACCAGACAGTCAACCCTGGCAGTATCCAAATAAACCAGACAGTCAACCCTGGCAGTATCCAAATAAACCAGACAGTCAACCCTGGCAGTATCCAAATAAACCAGACAGTCAACCCTGGCAGTATCCAAATAAACCAGACAGTCAACCCTGGCAGTATCCAAATAAACCAGACAGTCAACCCTGGCAGTATCCAAATAAACCAGACAGTCAACCCTGGCAGTATCCAAATAAACCAGACAGTCAACCCTGGCAGTATCCAAATAAACCAGACAGTCAACCCTGGCAGTATCCAAATAAACCAGACAGTCAACCCTGGCAGTATCCAAATAAACCAGACAGTCAACCCTGGCAGTATCCAAATAAACCAGACAGTCAACCCTGGCAGTATCCAAATAAACCAGACAGTCAACCCTGGCAGTATCCAAATAAACCAGACAGTCAACCCTGGCAATATCCAAATAAACCAGACCACCAACCCTGGCAGTATCCAAATAAACCAGACAGTCAACCCTGGCAGTATCCAAATAAACCAGACAGTCAACCCTGGCAATATCCAAATAAACCAGACCACCAACCCTGGCAGTATCCATTAATATCAATTTATTATACCATAAAGTTGATTTTCTTTCATATTTCTTTAGTTTATTATTTATCATACCATTACAGTTTATTATAATTAATCATGCAATAAAGTTGATTTTTTACATAATTCTTTAGTTTATTATTAATCATAAAAAAAGCTAAATATACATCTCTAGTTTTTAATTAATCATACCATTATAGTTTAATATTAATCATATCATTATAGTAAATATAAATCATGCCATTACAGTTTAATTTTACCATAAATCTTTAATTTGTTTTATACTACTATGGATATTGTTCTTCAAATTACTATCGCATAATTTTTATCATACCATTTTGGTATTATCATATTTTGTGGTTTTATTTTAACCATAGCTTTTTATTTTATTATTAATCATATCTTTATATTTTAATGTTAACCATACCCCCATGGTACCCGTTTGTATATGTTTATTCTCATAAGGTTCATGAGTTTCTTTTATCTACTGCCTGGTATATTTTTCATAAACCTCTTACTTTTTATCATCGTTTTTCATGAGTGAAATAATCTTCAGCATTAAAAAACAATGAATTATTAAATAACGATTGTCACATCATCAGATTCAAATTACTACGGATTGAAATAGTACAAATATTCATATGATGATTTAGAGAAGGCGTTACTTAGTTTGTCCTTTTGAGATTTCAATAAATGATCGTCCTAATACTAGCACACACAATCCACATTGGCTGCATGTTAACGATAATACAAAGTAATAATCTTACCATGAACTGTCTGTCTGGCCGGGTGTATACACTGTATACCTCCACTAGCGGCGGACGAGAGACATATATTCCTTACTGTATTCTCGGAGGCTGTGCATGTTTCCTCTCCTGTTCTCTCTGTAGTTTTGAGTCCCAGTAAATTTTCTATCTGAAACGCTTCTGCATTCGGGCTGAGCATATTGATAGAGTATCGTTTTCTTAGGATAAAAATAGAAACAAAATCAGGTGAAAACTTCCAACAGTAATTTACAAACATTCTTAATAGGAGTATTGTTTATGTGTAATAGATTATTCGTAATAAAGCAATGTTTGTTTTAGTATAGTAGGTTATTGATAAATTGAAATGTATCCATGTAAATTTTTAATAAATGATGTGTTTTATTTTATAGTACATGTTACATATAAAGTATTGTTTATTTATAATTTAGTTTTTTATGTTCACTTTTATGAACTTATAATATTTTGATACTCACTAATAAATAAATAAAGAGAATTTCAAAAATAATTATTGAATAAGAATAGACAATATCTGTGTTTAAAACATGATTTTCAATGAAATATAACCTTTAATTGAATTCCAAGTCATTTTACGCATTGTTGATTAGTTTAAACATTACATAAAAAATCGCAAAATGCACTAATCATTATGTAGAAGAAAGTAATTCCTTCATGAAATATTAACAATTCACCATATGCTTTAAATTCTCTTTTGTATTGATCATGACATGTCAATATGTTGATATGAAAAACAAAACACTTTTTTAAGCATCCATGACTATAAAGAAATAATGATTTGATCCTTTCCGTCACTATCTCTAAATACTGCAGCGAGTCAAAGCAACAACCAAATGGATTTAAGAGAGTGGACCAATGGAACAGACCACTCACAGTAACATGGCGCTCAGACAGATGTTAACATTTATCATGTTACTGACATTGAAATCAAGGATTGCAATGGTAACACAAAGAGACAAGAGGAAAAGACAGAATAGCGTGGTCAACAAAAGTGGGTCAGTTAACAATATGTAAACTAAAACAATCAAAATAATTTATAGTAGTCCACTATACATACTTTATTGTAACTTTATTAGAAAATAACATCTGGAAAAGTACTTTCCTACTTATTAAAATGAGCAAAATTATAAGTTGTATTTAAGAAATGAAAAAAATTGCACAACGTAGTGCTATGTATCATTATAGTGAATGAGTGTTGGTTACCTTCAGAAGTTGGCCTGGTACATCTACCTACAGCAGCTCCTCACTCCAGCCCTGGGTACAGAGCCCTGGGTACAGGTAGTTGTGACGGTATTATCGTCCGGCCATAGGATAGCGCGACGCTTATCAAAGGTGCATTGTATGTAGTGTGATTACAATAATAGAGGTGTTGTTTTAGCAAGAAGTACTTCAACATGTTGGGCCCTATTTGACCCGAGAAGGTCAGACAGAAATGATAGGACTCCCAACCGAGCGCTTTTTCATCACCCGCTTAACAGATAACACAAGCTCTTATGTTACAGTATATGTCTTTTCTGTTTATATTTTGTTTGTATTCATCCGTCATGAACAATTTGGAAATTAAAAAATATAGCTATCAGATATGTAATAAGTTGAAAGAATTCTTCATTAGAGTGAAGGACAAGCCCAAACTGTTAGAAAATTACCAAAGGCAGAGCATAGAAGTTCAATATTTACATATCTATTGGTCAACCGGGACAATATGCATATATGTCTGCCCAACAGTATCGTCTGTATGACCACACGCAGTTATCTATCGATTCCACGGTTTTTTGAGGAGTTTGATGTTGGTTTCATTTCCATTTGAGTTACGGGTAACTTGGGTTTTCGAATCGGTTAATTCGGTCTGAAACAACTCCCTGGAAAGTCATGAATCAGATGTTTACACACCGATAATGTTCCCGAAGTGTTTATGACATGTTCTGAAAATGTAAATATCGCATTGCGGAACCTAACCAATCCTTGATGTATATCTTCAAATATCCCTATAAGGAAGCATTTGTATAGTAAAATAATAATACATATATAAGGAATAATTCATACAAGTTAATAACAAAACGTCCCTGTAAGGAACCGTTTACAAAGTGAAACAACCAAATATCTGTAAGGTCGTCATACAAGTAAATAACAAAGGTATCTTTTATAGAACCGTTCATCCTTCAATTGTAATGCATTGCGAAGGCAAATATTGTTATGAGACTATAACAACATTAGCTATTGTAACGTCATCGATGTCATTGCTGTAAACACTTAATTTGCTGTTCAAAACCTGTTCGAAATAACAAAATAAAGCATAACTACTCTATCAAAATGTAAATAAAAATAATGAATATTTAAGCAAATATGTTATGGTCCTATCACACACATTTCTATTGTTGACAAACTTACATAAAGCTTTATTAAGTTTGTCATCAATCATACAACATTTGCTAAAACATTGCTTAAATAGTAATATATCTGTAGGAATGCAAGTATAAGACAAAACTTCTCTGTAAGGAACAGTTTATATTTCAGTAATGAATGTTTTAGCAAATGCTGTTATGTTTATATCACACACATTGCTATTAGATGTCAAACTTAACAAAGCCAAGTAGCAAACAATTCACTGAGAAGGCAAATGATGTTGTGAGACTATAACAACATTTGCTATTGTAACGTCATCAATCTCTATTGTGACGTCATCAATTTTATTGTTGTCAAGACTTCATTTCAAAATATTTTATTAAATCAAATGATTCAATGGGAATTTGGCAACAGGCTATGCCTATACAAGCCCTCTCCCCTTGGTTACATACATTTCAAACAATAACATAATTATAATTTAGACATTAACATATTAGCACTGGCTTTGACCGTTAAATAGTACTTAATACTTAATATTTAATAGTCTATATCTATCTCTGAACTAAGCAAAATTAAAAAATTACAAATAAATAGAATTATCAGGGTAAAACAAATACAGTTTTTTTTCTTTCTTTACATAGTAACCAGTATATATCAAATATGTTTCAAAATGGAAAGCCATGTTTGTATACTGCATTTGTAAATAATCAAATTTTAATAAAAAAAATTCAATACAGTGAATGTTAAATATTATTAGTTGAATAATTTGTAACACCAACTTGTCCTCCATCACCACTCCTACTCCAGATAACAATTATAACTGGGCAGCACTAAAACAAGACTTAATTTGCTATTTATTAATTTGATAAAGCACAACTAATCTATCAAAATGACAATATTAATAATGAATATTTTAGCAAATACTGTTATGGTCCTATAACACACATTGCAGTTGCAAACAAACTTACATAAAACACTACTAGGCTTTGTTGAGTTTGTCATCAATAGCAAAGTGTGTTAAAGGACCATAACAACATTTGCTAAAAAATTCATTGCTTAAGTAAGGTCGTCATAAAAGTAAATAACAAAAGTTTTCTTATGGAAACGTTTATATAGTAAAATAATAAAATGTCTGTAGGAAACGTTTATATAGTAAAATAATAAAATGTCTGTAGGAATCGTTTATATAGTAAAATAATAAAATGTCTGTAGGAATCGTTCTACAAGTAGATAACAAAACCTTCCTGTCATGAATCATTTATGTAGTTATATAACCGAATATATGTAAGGTATTGTTCATACAAATTCAAAGAACTTATCAGAAAAAGTTTTTAAAAAACCAGTTATTGCCTCTTGGGAATCATTCAAACGTGTCATTAATCATTAAAGAAACTTTATTGGTGTTGTTTCGGCCAAAGAAACTTTATTGGTGTTGTTTCGGCCAAAGAAGCTTTATCAATGTTGTTTCAGCCAAAGAAACTTTATTGGTGTTGTTTCGGCCAAAGAAACTTTATTGGTGTTGTTTCGGCCAAAGCAACGAATTTAAATATTAGTCAAGAAATTTCCATTCCAAACATAGGTCCGTTTTGCAGATTATCTACCGAGGTTTTGGTCAAGTGTTCTATACTCTCAGATTGGTTGTCGATCTCTAAACAACTTTATTGGAAAATATTGATTTACCTTTCCCCCATTTAAGATCATCTCCTCCACTAGGTTACAGAATAATATCACAAACACATCTATGTATAGGTTTTTAATTGATTCTGTCCATCAGACAGAATATTGACATCAACTGGAAATCCTAGCATATGCCAAAAATGACATTTTCAGGGTGTATGTAGGCTTTATGTTTCGTTTTACTTCAATTTGATTTATCTAATTATTGTTTGGATGAAATACAGTATGTTCTTAAATGCTGATTTATTGAGAATATCATTTATTTCTAATTAATTTATATATTACAGTACACTTTAAGTAGGTGACGCCGGGTACCGTTTACGTCAGCTTATCATATATAGGGTGGAACAAGCTTGCTTGTATCGCCTCTCTTATTAGCCCCTACAACCCCATTCCAAATGTTACCAGTCGTTTAAGAATCAATTTCTTGTGAAATTGAAAGTGTCCCGTCTTGACACGGGCGATAACAGTTTAGGATGTAGAATTCCGGCGTGAAGCTGGTTATTTAGGGGAGATGAAAAAACCAAGTCTTTCCTATCTCACAATAAAGCTGCATCCTCCGGAGGATACCCGGTTGCCGGTCATCGCTAGCTTTTAATCCTTTAATCCTTATATTGCACTGTATTTATATTCCACTGTAAACAGATTACGGTAAAGGGTGAAACAATTTACAAGCAAGACGTAGCAACATTCCAGATGACACCGGGTACTTCCGGGTTATGTGCGACTAAGGTGAGAATGTATCGGTGTGTTTGTCCCGTATCTTTGTTATCATGGTAAACACAAGCGTGTACAACTTCAGAAGTGTATAATTGTTCTAGGCCAACGAGAGATGCTTGGTATCTAGTCCTGGCTAGTATCCTGTAGCTCTTGTTGACAGAGATGTCACTATTTTGGGATGGGCACTAGACAAATGTGTTGGATTCGCCATTAAAATGTCTCTGTCATCATCTCGACGACAATCGTACACAGACCAACACATTGTTCTGTCGATCTTCACATAAAACTGCAAAATAAATGGTAATACAATGCTCTTTAATTTCCAGAATACCAGAATATTTTTCACTCATGATAGCGTAAATATTTCAAAATATTAATTTATAACTGTTGAATAATGGTCGCCATTGCGTTGTGTTGCATTATTATCAGCATTACGTGAATGCTTATCTTGAAAGCGAACGAAATTCAGAAACCACATCGTTAACACCTAAACACAAATTATACCCCAGTGTCAATACCCATGAACAAGATAATACACAGTGTCAATAAATATTAACAAAGTATATCACAGTGTCAATACCCATGGACAAAATATACCACATCGTTAACACCTAAACACAAAATATACCCCAGTGTCAATACCCATGGACATGATATAGCACATTGTCGATATCCATGGACAAACTATACCCCAGTGTCAATACCTATTAACAAACTATATCACAGTGTCAATACCCATGGACAAAATAATACACAGTGTCAATTCCCATGGACAAAATAATACACAATGTCAATACCCAAAGACAAAATATACCACATTGTCGATACTCATGGACAAACTATACCCCAGTGTCAATACCTATTAACAAACTATACCACAGTGCCAATACCCATGGACAAAATAATAACCAGTGTCAATACCCATGGACAAAATAATACACAGTGTCAATACCCATGGACAAAATAATACACAATGTCAATACCCATGGACAAGATATACCACATTGTCGATATCCATGGACAAACTATACCACAGTAATAACTATCATGAACAAAATAGTACACAGTGTCAATACCCATGGACAAAATAATACACAGTGTTAATACCCATGGACAAAATAGTACACAGTGTCAATACCCAAGGACAAGATATACCACATTGTCGATATCCATGGACAAAATAATACAAAGTATCAACACCCATGGACAAAATATACCACAGTGTCAACATCAATGGACAAAATATACCACAGTGTCAATACACATGGACAAGATATACCACATTGTCGATATCCATGGACAAACTATACCCCAGTGTCAATACCTATTAACAAACTTTACCGCAGTAATACCCATGGACAAAATAATACACAGTGTCAATACCCATGGACAAGATATACCACATTGTCGATATCCGTGGACAAACTATACCACAGTGTTAACTATCATGGACAAAATAATACACAGTGTCAATACCAATGGATAAAATAATCCACAGTGTCAATACCCATGGCAAGATATACCACATTGTCAATATCCATGGACAAAC